CTAGCCTCCTCCTCCTCTTTCTTCGTCTATCTTCTATCCCTCTCGCATTTCCTATCCCCGCGGCTGTCCTGTTCCTTGCTGTGTCTTCCGTTATCTACTAGTTATGCTTGCCTGTTCTTCCTGTTTATTCTTCCTTGACCTGTTCCCCCCTTTCTCCTAGTCCCACCCCCTTCCCTCTCGTAGCCCCCCCCCCTTCCCTCTCCTAGCCCCCCCCCTTCCCTCTCCTAGCCCCTATCCTTACTTTCCTGGCACAGTCTGAACCCCCTCCCCCCCCTGCTCCCTCCTTATATCCTACTCTATCCTCCTCATCCCCTCCCCTGCAAAACCGCCCCCCCCACCCCCTTCCTTAAGAATCCTGCCACCTCTCCCCTCTTCCCCAATCCCCAATCCCCCCTCCCCGGAGGCAAACTGTGTATTCCTTTTTACTCGCCAATCAGTTTTGCGGGCGTTATTACTTCAGGGTAGATAGGGAGATAAGGCAGGCAGCCTCCTTATCTCCCACCTCCCGACCCACATAAACTCCTCCCTCCCCCCCCCCTCTCTCTCTCTCCTCCCTCTCTCTCTCTCTCTCTCTCTCTCTCTCTCTCTCTCTCTCTCTCTCTCTCTCTCTCTCTCTCTCCTTCTCTCTCTCTCTCTCTGAGAAGTCTACTGACTGGGTGGTTTAGGTAACTTTATTCCTAGAAATAGACATGACTTTTCTTTTACCTCACTCCCCCCCATGGACCTTCCCTTCTCCCTTCCTACCTCCTTCCCTCACTTACCTTCCCCTCCCCCCCCTCCCTCCTTCCCCATTTACCTAACTCCCCCCTGGACCTTCTGTCCACCCTGTTCCGTTTTCTGTTGAAGGTAACTATATCACTTCTTCCCTCCAATAAGAACAAATCATACCTCCCCCCCCCACGGTATACTCATCTGGGAGTTTACTTAACTATAGTTAACACCTATAACGAGTATACTGTAAGTGTGGTGTTTAAGGGCGAGGTGGGCATCTTTACTGAGGTCATTAAGATCTATAACAGCCATGAATGGTCGTAAAGGTTGTTCCCTTCTCAGCTCTGATTGCTTTGATGACAGATGACTTCTTGATGACAGGTCTTGAAGGGTTTACAATATTTTCAATGTTGTATATTGCTAGTAAAACGCAATCTGAGTATACTTGTATGCCAGTATACTCAATGCTATAAGTAGGGGCGTGTGTTGGGTATGTGATTGAGTTAGAGTTAATATATGGTTGTGCTTACTATTGTACAACCAAGTGTGTGGTTGTGAGTGACTGAATTGTATGACAATTGTATATATGTGTATACACATACAATTGTATGGTGTGTATTTGAGTACATGATGATATACGGAATTACATAGCAATTGAAGGGTCAAGAATTTCCAAGACATGACCTCCGAAATGAGCGAACCATTGCCAGTCTTACTGATGGTAATGACCATCACGTCCACCTTAACTACCTCACCTGTAGTTATCTCAAGATCTAACTATCTCAAGACCTAACTATCTTAGATCTAACTATCTCAAGACCTAACTATCTTAGATCTAACTATCTCAAGACCTAACTATCTTAGATCTAACTATCTCAAGACCTAACTATCTTAGATCTAACTATCTCAAGACCTAACTATCTTAGATCTAACTATCTTAGATCTAACTATCTCAGACGTATATGTGAACGAGTTTTAGGTGCATATATATATATATATATATATATATATATATATATATATATATATATATATATATATGGTAGACCTATCAGTGAGTTTACACCTGTAAACCCACTGAATGGTATACTGCTAGGTCCGCCAAGTGCTACTGGGGGATCAGGGGGGCAAACTATTATGAAGCTTGGTTCCCAGTCAATCCTCCTCCTCCGACCAGGATTCGAACCCAGACCAGATAACACGCGAGTTTAATATTACCACGACGCCTTCTCCAACTGTCTTTATTCTTGCGTCTTAAGAATTTTGTTTAATAAATCCGCCGTAAGGAAAAAAATCGTCACTCACAATGCCAATTTATTCAGCTAAAACTAAATTCATAATTATAGGGAAAAAACGTGAAATAAATTCCTGATTTCTTTTGTTTGAGAGCCTTTACTGACACAGCTGATCTTGTTTAACCGACCTGTTGTGGGTAGCATCAAGTACTTCTTTATGTATCATCATAGCTTCTTAGATGACATCCTAAGGTGCGGGTATATGGCATTTTTACACTCCCAGCTCAGGTAATGGCAACACTCCCAGCTCAGGGTGGTGGCAACACTCCCAGCTCAGGGTGGTGGCAACACTCCCAGCTCAGGTAATGGCAACACTCCCAGCTCAGGGTGGTGGCAACACTCCCAGCTCAGGGTGGTGGCAACACTCCCAGCTCAGGGTGGTGGCAACACTCCCAGCTCAGGGTGGTGGCAACACTTCCAGCTCAGGTAATGGCAACACTCCCAGCTCAGGTAATGGCAACACTCCCAGCTCAGGTAATGGCAACACTCCCAGCTCAGGTAATGGCAACACTCCCAGCTCAGGGTGTTGCCAGCTTCAAGATAAATGTATATTCCAGTTCTAGGCGACCCAGCCCTCGGCTTCACCTCTCCCTGTTGCTATATTTGATATTTGATTTCAATATTAATTCACTGCATATATGCATATGTATATTCTATAAATATGTATGTATACATACACACACACAAGGACGAGATGAAGTCCTTGAGCTGGGAGAGGTGACAGTAAACCAGGGAGCCTTGGAAGGGTTCGAAATTACGAGAGGAGGTCAAGAGACACCTGTTGGAGCTGGATGTTAGAAAGGCTGTTGGTCCGGGCGGGATCTCACCATGGGTACTGAAAGAGTGTGCAGGAGCGCTTTGCTTGCCACTCTCCATAGTGTATAGTAGGTCACTGGAGACGGGAGACCTACCAGAAATATGGAAGACGGCTAATGTGGTCCCAATATACAAAAATGGTGCCAGACAAGAGGCACTGACTACAGGCCAGTGTCCTTGACTTATATAAGGAGGACAGCACGAGGCTTCAAGAAGATCTGGACAAATTGACGGAATGGTCGAAAATATGGTTGTTAGAGTTTAACCCAAGCAAATGTAATGTAATGAAGATAGGGGTAGTGAGCAGGAGGCCAGACACAATATCACGCCAGACCTGTCCTCCGAAGCCAATATCACGAGGATACCCTCAGCGGCATATGCCAGGTTGGCCAACATAAGAACGGTCTTTAGAAACTTGTGGAAGGAATCGTTCAGGACCTTGTATACCACGTATATCAGACCAATCCTGGAGTATGCAGCTCCAGCATGGAGTCCATATCTCGCCAAACAGAAGACTATATTGGAGAAGGTTCAGAGGTTTGCCACCAGATTAGTACCCGAACTGAGGTGTATGAGCTACGAGGAGAGACTACGGGAATTAAACCTCACGTCGCTGGAAGACAGAAGAGTTACAGGGGGAACATGATCACCACATACAAGTTTCTCAAAGGAATTGATAGGGTACATGAAGACAGTTTATTTACCACAAGGGGCACACGCACTAGGAGACACAGGTGGAAACTGAGTGCCCAAATGAGCCATAAAGACATTAGAAAGAACTTTTTTAGTGTCAGAGTGGTTGACAAATGGAATGCATTAGGTAGTGATGTGGTGGAGGCTGACTCCATACGCAGTTTCAAGTGTAGATATGATAGAGCCCAGTAGGCTCAGGAACCTATACACCTGTTGATTGACAGTTGAGAGGCGGGAGTGCCAGGCCACCCACTACCTGTGCCAGGCCCCCCACTACCTGTGCCAGGCCCCCCACTACCTGTGTCAGGCCCCCCCACTACCTGTGCATCATGGCGTCACCTGAAGGCGGGAACGAACATTACAGGTGAGCTGAGGGAACAGTTTCGGCGGCTGTGAGGAGCACTAGGAGGCTGAGGAGAGAGACAGAGACAGAAAGAGAGATACAGAGACAGACAGACAGACAGATAAAGAACGATTGAAAGAAAACAAAGAGCGGTGAAAGAAGGCAGGAGACGGAAAAAAGGAAGAGGATGACAAACAGATAGAAAACTTTACTCTCCCTCCCTCCCCTCCCTACATGAATACTTGACCAAGCAAGTTATTCCGAGGTTAGGAGTTCCTTCATGTATGCATGAAGTAGCTCCCACGGCTCAAGGCTCTGTGGCTCCACAGGCAGTGGGCAACCACCCACAGGTAATGGGGCAAGAGGACACAGGGAGTAAGGGACCTCCCCCACCACCACAGGTAATGGGGCAAGAGGACACAGGGAGTAAGGGGCCTCCCCCACCACCACAGGTAATGGGGCAAGAGAACACAGGGAGTAAGGGACCTCCCCCACCACCACAGGTAATGGGGCAAGAGGACACAGGGAGTAAGGGGCCTCCCCCACCACCACAGGTAATGGGGCAAGAGAACACAGGGAGTAAGGGACCTCCCCCACCACCACAGGTAATGGGGCAAGAGGACACAGGGAGTAAGGGACCTCCCCCACCACCACAGGTAATGGGCAAGAGGACACAGGGAGTAAGGAACCTCCCCCACCACAGGTAATGGGCAAGAGAACACAGGGAGTAAGGGACCTCCCCCACCACCACAGGTAATGGGCAAGAGGACACAGGGAGTAAGGAACCTCCCCCACCACAGGTAATGGGCAAGAGAACACAGGGAGTAAGGGACCTCCCCACCACAGGTAATGGGCAAGAGAACACAGGGAGTAGTAAGGGACCTCCCCCACCACAGGTAATGGGCAAGAGGACACAGGGAGTAAGGGACCTCCCCCACCACAGGTAATGGGCAAGAGAACACAGGGAGTAAGGAACCTCCCCCACCACCACAGGTAATGGGCAAGAGAACACAGGGAGTGGGGTGCAACACGCCAACCCTTCTGAACACTTGGGCATTTTCTCAGGTTAAGAGAAGGTAAAGAAATTACATAGGTGATGGGGCCGAGGAAATTGTCTTGGGTAGAGAGGACAATTGTCTTGGATGGTGAAGAAGAGAAATAGACAATTGTCTTGGATGGTGAAGAAGAGAAATAGACAATTGTCTTGGATGGTGAAGAAGAGAAATAGACAATTGTCTTGGATGGTGAAGAGAAATAGACAATTGTCTTGGATGGTGAAGAAGAGAAATAGACAATTGTCTTGGATGGTGAAGAAGAGAAATAGACAATTGTCTTGGATGGTGAAGAGAAATAGACAATTGTCTTGGATGGTGAAGAAGAGAAATAGACAATTGTCTTGGATGGTGAAGAGAAATAGACAATTGTCTAAGATGGTGAAGAAGAGAAATAGACAATTGTCTTGGATGGTGAAGAGAAATAGACAATTGTCTTGGATGGTGAAGAAGAGAAATAGACAATTGTCTTGGATGGTGAAGAGAAATAGACAATTGTCTTGGATGGTGAAGAGAAATATACAATTGTCTTGGATGGTGAAGAAGAGAAATAGACAATTGTCTTGGATGGTGAAGAAGAGAAATAGACAATTGTCTTGGATGGTGAAGAGAAATAGACAATTGTCTTGGATGGTGAAGAAGAGAAATAGACAATTGTCTTGGATGGTGAAGAGAAATAGACAATTGTCTAAGATGGTGAAGAAGAGAAATAGACAATTGTCTTGGATGGTGAAGAGAAATAGACAATTGTCTTGGATGGTGAAGAGAAATAGACAATTGTCTTGGATGGTGAAGAGAAATAGACAATTGTCTTGGATGGTGAAGAGAAATAGACAATTGTCTTGGATGGTGAAGAGAAATAGACAATTGTCTTGGATGGTGAAGAGAAATAGACAATTGTCTTGGATGGTGAAGAGAAATAGACAATTGTCTTGGATGGTGAAGAAGAGAAATAGACAATTGTCTTGGATGGTGAAGAAGAGAAATAGACAATTGTCTTGGATGGTGAAGAGAAATAGACAATTGTCTTGGATGGTGAAGAAGAGAAATAGACAATTGTCTTGGATGGTGAAGAGAAATAGACAATTGTCTAAGATGGTGAAGAAGAGAAATAGACAATTGTCTTGGATGGTGAAGAGAAATAGACAATTGTCTTGGATGGTGAAGAGAAATAGACAATTGTCTTAGATGGTGAAGAGAAATAGACAATTGTCTAAGATAGTGAAGAAGAGAAATAGACAATTGTCTTAGATGGTGAAGAGAAATAGACAATTGTCTTAGATGCTGAAGAAGAGAAATAGACAATTGTCTTGGATGGTGAAGTAAGGTTGGAATGGGCCGGAGCGAGGCCGGATGAAGAAGAATGAGCCGGCTGGAGACAATTGCACAGGTGTGTGCGGGAGCAGCCGGCTCCAGCACACACCTGAAGCTCCCCTCAGGTGAGCCAGCACCAGGTGAAGCTCCCCTCAGGTGAGCCAACACACACCTGAAGCTCCCCTCAGGTGAGCCAGCACCAGGTGAAGCTCCCCTCAGGTGAGCCAACACACACCTGAAGCTCCCCTCAGGTGAGCCAGCACCAGGTGAAGCTCCCCTCAGGTGAGCCAGCACCAGGTGAAGCTCCCCTCAGGTGAGCCAGCACCAGGTGAAGCTCCCCTCAGGTGAGCCAGCACCAGGTGAAGCTCCCCTCAGGTGAGCCAGCACCAGGTGAAGCTCCCCTCAGGTGAGCCAGCACCAGGTGAAGCTCCCCTCAGGTGAGCCAGCACCAGGTGAAGCTCCCCTCAGGTGAGCCAGCACCAGGTGAAGCTCCCCTCAGGTGAGCCAGCACCAGGTGAAGCTCCCTCAGGTGAGCCAGCACCAGGTGAAGCTCCCCTCAGGTGAGCCAGCACCAGGTGAAGCTCCCCTCAGGTAGATTATATATATATATATATATATATATATATATATATATATATATATATATATATATATATATATATATATATATATATATATATGTCTAACCTGCACTGCACTTGAAACCAAATCCAGAGATCCGTACGTCTATGTTACCCGATAATGTGTTCCATAAATCACCATCATGTTTCCGAACCAGTATTTACCCAGGACTTTCCTGAAGCTAAACTTAACCCAAATGTATCCGTTGTTTCGTGTTGTATTTGGGGTTGATATATTGGTCACCTTTATATCCCCTTATGTTATACTCTCTCATCCACTGGTATGCTTCAAAGACCTCAAACATCTGGTCCAGGTGAAGGAAAGAAAACGGGTGCAGGTGAGGGAAAGAAAACGGGCACAGGTGAAGTTAAGTACAATGGGCTAAGGTGGACGAAATAAGTGAACAGAGAATATGATCTAAACGAACGGTTTTAAACAGGTTGTAAACACGTTTAAAACAGGTTTTAAACAGGTTGTAAACAGGTTTAAAACAGGTTTAAAACAGGTTTAAAACAGGTTTTAAACAGGTTTTAAACAAGTAACCGAAAACAACAGGCACACGAAGGCGGCAAAAAAATAAAAAGTCGCACAGCTGAACGGGAAAAAGTAGCACAGGTGCCGGGGAAGAAGTGGCACAGGTAGTGGGTTAACGAGCTTTTGTACAGGTAGACAATTTATGGTAGTCTTCCTGGCTCTCTGTAGGTGTCGAGGGGGGAGGGGTGAAGAGAAGGAGGGGGGAGGGAAGGGAGACGATAAAGAACCTGAGAGAGAGAGAGAGAGAGAGAGAGAGAGAGAGAGAGAGAGAGAGAGAGAGAGAGAGAGAGAGAGAGAGAGAGAGAGAGAGAGAGAGAGAGAGAGAGAGAGAGGGAAAAGGGAAGGAGGGAGATGGAAGGAGGAGAAAGGGAGAGTAGTGATGGACTGTGGAGACGTTTGAGAGAATAGGTCCCCCTAGTCTCTTCCCCCCCCCCCCCACCTCCCCCTTAGTGACCTCTCCGCTAGTGTGTAACAAATGAACAAATCCACAAGGGCCGTGATTAGGGTTCGAACCTACATTCGAGATGATCCCAGACGAATGAGGAGGAGAAGGAGTAGGAAATCGTAGATGACAACTAGACTATTATGAGGAAATCAGGTGTCAAGAAACTGTGTGTGAGAAGACATTATAAACCCCCCTAACACAACCCATCATCTAAAACCATCCTCACCACCATTAAAGTCTGCTAATTACAAGAACACAACTCTTTATTTCCAAACCCTTACTTTTTCTCCTGGTCTTTATTAATGACTTACATCTATATTTTTACTTCAACTTGAAAAAGGAAAATAAGATTTATTAACCTCTCAAGTTCCTGGTTATTTAATTTCCTCTGTGGTTGGCGAGGGCTGAGTGTAGCGACGCCTGGCGATCGGTCACTCCAGACGCCCCAGGAAACGCCAGACGTTTACCGGTGGCGGCGAAGATCAGGAGAGTCAGGTAGAGTTTCTCAGAGTGTCACAAAGTCCATTACTGAGGAGATACAAGCAGGTGATAGTTTGTGGCTTCCTCCACCACTACTACCCCTGCCCGGCCCATTGTTACTCCCTCACCTGGCCTCCCTACCTCTACCTACCTACCTCTACCTACCTATCTCTACCTACCTACCTCTACCTACCTACCTCTACCTACCTACCTAAATATTGCACAGAGCATCGGCTATTGCTGGGGAGGTTTGCAACATAGTTTAGGCAGATCCATTTTCCACAGTTTCCCCTCAGTCGTCTCTCATCCTCCCTTAACTCATTCCCTCAATTAATTAGTCGCGTTTTCTATACGATATGGTAACTACTTAACAAATCCAACCTATTGTGGAAAGACATGGGTCATAAATATCAACGTTTTCTATATGCATCGGTGTCTAGGGTAGGTGGGTTGCTTGGGTTAGTACAGGTGGAGTAATGGGCTAATATAGCTGCCTCGTATCCCACAGCTGGTGGTCCAAGGTGGTGACGCCCCACTCCCACAGCTGGTGGTCCAAGGTGAGACGCCCCACTCCCACAGCTGGTGGTCCAAGGTGGTGATGCTCCACTCCCACAGCTGGTGGTCCAAGGTGGTGACGCCCCACTCCCACAGCTGGTGGTCCAAGGTGGTGACGCCCCGCTCCCACAGCTGGTGGTCCAAGGTGGTGATGCTCCACTCCCACAGCTGGTGGTCCAAGGTGGTGATGCTCCACTCCCACAGCTGGTGGTCCAAGGTGGTGACGCCCCACTCCCACAGCTGGTGGTCCAAGGTGGTGATGCTCCACTCCCACAGCTGGTGGTCCAAGGTGGTGACGCCCCACTCCCACAGCTGGTGGTCCAAGGTGGTGATGCTCCACTCCCACAGCTGGTGGTCCAAGGTGGTGATGCTCCACTCCCACAGCTGGTGGTCCAAGATGGTGACGCCCCACTCCCACAGCTGGTGGAGTCACAGGTAGAGCAAAGGGGCGTGAGGGGACACAGGTAACGTCCTGGTGGGGGGTGGGGGGGACAGTGTGGGGGGTGGGGGGGACACCGTAGGGGGGGGGGGGTTAGGGGGGGAGTTACACAGGTAGATCCACCAGCTCCGCCGAACGACCGCGGGGAAGAAGGGCTTACACGACCTTCGGAAAAGTTAAAGCGACTATAAAAATTCTGGGCAGGAGTGAGCAGAGGGGGGAGTGGATCAGGAGGATCCCCCCACCTTCCCCTGTCCCCCTCTACCCCCCCCCTCCCCTCCCTCCTCCTCCTCCTCCAATCCCACACCCCCGTCCCATCCCCTTTGACCCCCACTACCTGCTCTTCCCCCTCCCCCTTCTCGCAAGCACCCCCAAGACTTCCCTTTCTTTCTTGTTTCCCTTCATGTTCTTCCACCGCCTCTTCCTTTTCCTACAATGGCTATTCTCCCCTTTCATCCTCCTTCCTCCTCCTTTTCCATTCCCCTTCTACATCGCCTCCTACTCTTGTCCTCCTTTCCTCCTTTTGCTCCTACTCTCCAATACATTACCCTCATCCTCCTACCCATCCTTCTCAGCCCCATCCTCTTTCCGGATCTCCCCCCTCCCTCCTCCCTTCCCCCTCTTCCCCCCCCTCCCCCCCCCCCTCTGAGTGACGACCTGGCCCACCGCTGCTGATGGCAGCATCCGTCTTGCTGGGCCGCCTACCTGCCCAGGTGAGTCTCACTCCCCCTTGGAGGTGGCTACTGACGCCTGAAGGGGGGGAGGGGGGAGGGAGGCACTCTGGGGGGAGGCACTCTGGAGGGGAGGCACTCTGGGGGGAGGCACTCGGGGGGAGACACTCTGAGGGGGAGGCACTCTGGAGGGGAGGCACTCTGGAGGGGAGGCACTCTGGAGGGGAGGCACTCTGGAGGAGAGGCACTCTGAGGAGAGGCACTCTGGAGGGTAGGCACTCTGGAGGGTAGGCACTCTGGGGCGAGGCACTCTGGAGGGGAGGCACTCTGGAGGGGAGGCACTCTGAGGGGAGGCACTCTAAGGGGAGGCACTCTGGTGAGAGGCACTCTGAGGCGAGGCACTCTGAGGGTAGGCACTCTGTAGGGGGAGGCACTCTGTAGGGGAGACACTCGTGGGTCTCTAACTACTCAACAGGGGGGCAGCGCCCCAGCTAACAAAGAGCAGCGTGGGGGGGAGGGGGGACACGGAGCAACAAAAGAGCCGCCTCAGGGCTCGGGGCTCTAGTGGGGGGGCCCGGTGCTCTAGTGGGGGGCCCGGAGCTCTAGTGGAGGACCCGGGGCTCTAGTGGGGCCCCGGATCTTACACGGTAAATATAACACGTCACAGGGGGTGATATCCTGGGCTATTTGTAACCAATTGAAGCCCGTTCACGTCTCCTGGAAGACTGTAGGTTTTACCCTCAAACGCAAGCTTGCACACACACACACACACACATGTACACCTCAGCGGGTCATGCTGAGACACACATGCTCACCCGCTGGCGTACACATGTGTACACACCACACCTGTGTACATACTGGGGATGTAGTAGTGAAAGTCAAGGATCGACCCACACCGCGAACCGACGTAGCTGAAACTGACACGTCTACACTATCCTGTTTACCACAACACCCCACAACCCCCCAACACCCCCAACACGCCCCCAACACCCCTCCCCCCACAACACCCCCCAACACCCCCAACACCCCCCAACACCCCAAACACCCCCCAACTCTCCCCATCAACCCCCCATCACCCCCCAACACCCCAACACACCCCAACACCCCCAACACCCCCCCAACACCACAC